GGGGGCGGGGTGGGAAGGGGACAGGCACCAGGGAATCTCTGCTACTTTGAGGCCATGTGTGCTTGGTTTGTTGCTAAGGGTAGGTCGGTGGCGGCCCCTCCCACACTGAAGCGTCTAGACTACATCCCTTTTTTCAAAAAAGGGATGTAAATTGGACTCTTCGAAATTGCAAATGAAGCCGGGATTTAAATTTCCCATGCTTCATTTGCATAATGGAGGCCATGGTTTTTTTTTTTCAAAACGGGGCTTTTCGATAGAAAAATGGCAGTTTAGATGGGGATCTTTCAAAAATAAAACCCTTTTTCAAAAGATCCTGTAAACCTCATTTTATGAGGATCTATAGTAAAATTCTTCCAGTTTTAGCAATTGACCATCTATTAATTAGTAACGCAAGATTTTAAAAAATGATTAAGATCAGAGTTTTTGGATATCCACAACACTCCAAAAGAATTTTGTTAAAATAATCCTTTTATTTCTTACCTTGAGCCATTAACACCTATGTAAACATTGTTTTAAATATAATCATGCAAATATCATGAGCTAGGCTACCCACATGCTTTTGTTCCAGTATTAAATCATTAAAGTCTAAATCCTTATCTATAGCCTAACTGTTTTACAAAAGAAAAAAATTCCAATACAAGTGAAGTTATATCCTGCATGAAGATCTGCTAATGCAGAATCTTTCGGCCCTCTTTACTTCTCTGCTCTGGATCTGTCTCTCTCCAAACAAACTCAATTTTAGCCCAGGCTTTCTAACATCTCTGGGAAGTTGGCCACCTGTTAACAAACTCAACATGGCCAAAAGCAAGCTCTTTATTTTTCCTTCCTGATACTAGAGGAAAAATATTTTGGTCTAGAACTGCAAAGATGCACTGTTTTAGAATATAGAAACATAAGAAGAACATAAGAACTGCCCTACGGGATTGGACCAAAGGTCCATCTAGCCCAGTATCCGGTCTGCCGACAATGGCCAATGCTAGATGCCCCAGAGGGAATGAACAGAACAGGGAATCCATACATGATCCCTCTCCTGTTTTCTGTTTGCGCTACAATTCTAACAGTGGAAAATAGCAGGACATTCATTATTCCTTCCCTCTTTTTTCTGGCATATTTCAGGTCTTGTAATTATGTCACCGATCAGTTGGTAATTAATACCAAACCCTCCACACTCCAGTCTCAACAAGAAAAGGGAAGATGTACTTCGATGGAGCTCCCTCTGATGCATTAATGAGACCATGGAGTTTCCCCAGCACCCCATCTCCCATGGAACCACATGCTCCAGCTTTCCAGCATAACCCGCAAGAAATGTTGGGCACCCACCATGGAGCCTACTTCCCTCTCCCTCCATCTTCAGCCCAGGAGAGGAACCTGTGTCTCTCCCTTGCACCAGTGAGAGTGTCTGACTCTCGCTGCAGCCCAGATGGGAGTCAGGACACTCCAAACAAACTCCCCACCCACACCTTACCACCCCAATGCTTGCACCCACCCAGCCCCTCTTTTGCCTTAACACCCCTGTTCAGTCTGCTCCCCTGGCCTGGCCCCAGTCCAGTCAGGGGCTCAGAAAGAGTCCTGCCTTTTGAAGGTGCAGGCACTGGCTGGAAAAGACACATTTCTCTGACCCTGGCAGGGAGTGGCTGCAGCTGGGGGAGGGGTGGCCCCCCGCCCCCGTCCACCAAGCAGCTCCGTGCTCAGTAGCTCTGAACTCCAGCATGGGGCTTATTAATGTGCTCCCCCACCCCAGAGATCTGAAAGAGCAACACAAAACCTCAACCAGAGCTCACCTCTGAACCTCTTCAGCAGTTCCTTCATGTCAAGGAAAATGTCATACTCCTTCTTCAGGTCAGTAGAAACAGTTTCTGGTTCCTGGAGTTTCACATTCTCACTCCTATGAAGAAAAAAAATCCCATCATAACTCCACAGCTCTGTGCATGCCTCACCGCAGAGCCATCCCCAAGAATACAAGCGCGATGAAAATGGGACACGCACCTGCTCAATGTGTTTTTCACATCCTGAAAGAAGAAAGAGAATTGATGTTCTGTATTACCACCATGTGCCTAAAATGGAGCATTTCCCACTCTGGGCATCAACCCTCCTACACCATTTTGCATTAACACTAGTTTCATTATATGTAAGTGAGATGGGGATTTGGCTGAATGCTTCTACCGTCTAGGGACCATCAGTATCTATGTTTAGTGACTGCATTGAGTTCAAGTCACAGCAGGGATGGAGTTAGCTCTTTATCATTTCTGTATCATCCATTTACTCTCCCAGGGCCTTCCTGGATCTCCATGGCCAGAATTCCCCTCTGACATGAACTGCAATATTTTGGAACTGATGGCACCTTTTAGCCTGAGGTTTTATCTGTCAGTAGCCCACCGAACATGGATCTGCGCTATAATTCTGGCTGGATGCCGAGTTTTGATGCTGTCCCACCTTTAGCAGCTCCGTAACCGGCTGCTGACACTTCCCCTCGATCTCTGCGATCAGCTGCTGCAGAGAGGAGCTTTGCTGGGAGAGTTTGGAGACATTTTCCTGTAGCCTCTGCAAAGTTTCCCTCTCTTCCTCCTCCAGCCTCTGCAGAAGCAGCTGCTCCTCCTCTCTCAGCAGCATGTGCAGTTTGTTGAATTCACGGGTAATCGTCTCGTGCTTCTGCTTCACTTTCCTCTGAAGAAAGAAAAATAGGAAAAAGGCAGGGAAAACGCAAGCCAAATGTTGAGTTACAGACTGGGCCTCTGTCTATGAAGCAGGGAATGTGAAATGAGTAACAGGTTTGTAAGGATATTTACTTCTTTGGGAAATGTGATATAAGCAAGATCTGAAGGAATGGTTCTCTGACAGCGAGCTGGAAGAGGGGAGAGACCCTGGGGCTGTGTCTACACTGGCATGAATTTCCGGAACTGCTTAAAACGGAATACTATTCCGTTTTCAGTTTTTCCGGAAAAGGAGCGTCTACATTGGCAGGCTGCTTTTCCGGAAAAGCCCTTTTTCTGGAAAAGCATGTGGCCAATGCAGGGGCTTTTTTCCGGAAAAGACTACTGGGCTGTCTACACTGGCCCTTTTCCGGAACAGTGTTCCAGAATAAGGACTTATGCCCGAGCGGGAGCAGAATAGTTTTTCCGGAATAGCGGCTGATTTTGTACAGTAGAGCATCGTTGCTTTTCCAGAAATTCAAGGGCCCGTGTAGACAGCTCGCAGCTTATTCCGGAAAAGCAGCTGATTTTCCGGAATAAGTGGCCCAGTGTAGACACAGCCTGGGTGTGTCTCTGTAAACACAGTTTGTTCCTGCTTTGGTTAGATTTGCTAGATATTCAGCAGCTGGAGTCATTTTTTTCTCATTGTAATCAACTTAGCTGCTGTTGGATTACAAATTACGTTAGCATTGAATGCAGGAGTAGTGGAATATGGTTGCCAATGTGTAATTATTGTGGGAATACAGAAAAGCAGCAGTGTGCTTATCCCATTCCAAAGGAAAGGGCTCATGCTTAGCAGAAAGGAGCTTGCTAAACAGGGACTCGGTTGTGAGTGTAAGAAAGGTGGCAGGTAGCCTTCCATGGGGTACTCCTACATTTATTTAACATATTGTTCCCACTGTTCAAAGAATAGAGCTACATAGGCTTCGCTGAGAGCCTCTTTGTTATTTTAGTTGTAGTAGAGCTGTGTTTCTGCCCTGTCTCCTAAGAGCTAAAATCACTGGGAGGCGAAATCACTTGAGATGAGGCAGTTTCTGTCCAGCTGTGGCAAAAAAGCTGAGAACTACTAAGGAATGCATGTGAATAGGTCACAACCAAGAGGTGGATGGTGACTGACAGCCAGCGGGGCAGCAGTAGGCTGAGCTGCCAATAGGGCAAATAAAATGTCTCTCTCTCCCCGCCACACCCAGGTGAGAAGTGAATGCTGTGGTTGCACCTCTGACCCCAAGGGCAGCGACTGGGAGTGGGGTGCAGAGATGGGTTGGGGACATTTAGGGTGTGTCTAGACTACAGGATTTTGTCGACAAAAGTGGACTTTTGTCGACAAAACTATACCTGCGTCCACACTATCGCTGAGTTCTATCGACATAACGTCAACAAAACTCAGTAGTTTTGTCGACGCTGGTAAACCTCATTCTACGAGGAATAACGCCTTTTGTCGACAGACTTCTGTCAACAGAAGGCGTTATTGCATCTACACTGTCCTTTGAGTCTACACTCTTATGGGGTACGTCTACACTACAGCGCTAGTTTGAACTAACTTAGTTCGAATTAGTTAATTCGAACTAAGCTAATTCGAACTAACGCGTCTAGAACTAAAAACTAGTTCGAATTAGCGTTTTGCTAATTCGAACTAGCAAGTCCACATTGAGTGGACTCTGAACAGGGCTTAAGGATGGCCGGAAGCAGTGCCGGCAGGGCATAAGAGGAGGACTTAGAGCATGGAGATGCTGTCTCAGGCTAGCCGAGGGCTGCGCTTAAAGGGTCCCGACCCCCACCCCGGACACACAGTTCTAAGGGGTGCCCCGCTTGCAAAGAAGTTCTGGCTTGGAGTGCCCTGAGTGCCCACACTGGGCACATCACACCACTCGGCCATCAGCCCGGCTGCACTTGCCGCAGGCTGCCATCTGGGGAGAGGGAGTAATTGGGGGGCTGCAGGAGAGCTTCCACCCCCAGAAGCCCGCAGAGCCAGCCCAGTCCTCCCCATCGGGGGCTCGTACCCCATTCCTCCCTCACCTCCTGCCACTTACCCTTCCCTAGCCCCCCTTCTTATTGATGTACAAAATAAAGATAACGTTTCTTCCAACATTGACTTTATTGAACAAAACTGGGGGAGACTGGGAAAAGGAGGTGGGAGAGGGGAAGAGAAAGGCTGGGAGAGGGGAGGGCAACTAACATGATCAAGGGTTGGGAACAGGTCCCAGATGAAGAGAGGCTACAGAGACTGGGACTGTTCAGCTTAGAAAAGAGGAGACGGAGGGGGGACAGGATAGAGGTCTCTAAAAGCAGGGGTTGGGTGGAGAGGGTGCATTCAGAAAAGTTCTTCATGAGTTCCCATAAAGAAGGACTAGAGGACACCAAAGGAAAGGAATGGGTAGCAGGCTTGAAACTAGTAAGAGAAAGTTGTTGTTCTTGACAAAGCAAATAGTTAACCTGTGGAACTCCTTGCTGCAGGAGGCTGTGAAGGCTACAACTAGAACAGAGTTTAAAGGGAAGTGAGATAAAGTGATGGAGGTTGGGTCCATGGAGTCCTATTAGCCAGAGGGTAGGAGTGGTGTCCCTGCCCAAAGTTTGTGGAAGGCTGGAGAGGGATGGCACGAGACAAATGGCTTGGTCATTGTCTTCGGTCCATCCCCTCCAGGGTCCCTAGGGTTGGCCGCTGTCGGCAGACAGGCTACTGGGCTAGATGGACCTTTGGTCTGACCCAGGACGGCCATTGTAAGCTCAGGGCTCAGTGTCGGGGGTCTCAGTGGACCCCCTTGATTTTCATGCACACCTGGTCCTGGGTGGCCAGGCTGGCAGCTCTCCTGCCCTAGACGGCCACTTTCCTGTGCCTAGTGCGGAG